TAAAATAAATCTATATTTTATCTATATTCTATAACATGCGGGTCAGGCATGTTGTCATTGTTATTTATTAATCTCACAATTAGTTGTATTGTGTATATAATATATATGTGTGTGTTTTATCTATCATTATTCGGTAGAATAAACATTTTGTAAATATTTCTACAAAAGTTTCAGTCAATTAAAAATGGTCACATTCCGAATTTTGAGGATTTTTGGATCTACTTACATTTGTTAGCAAACATTTTCAAATATGAACATTAAATAAAATAAATAAATGAAAAGACAAATTAAGAAATCAACTAAACGATATCAGCCTTGATGCTTGTTTAAAGTTGAAAACTACAGATTACATATTATATTTTCTAAATTTAAGACGTATCATTATGTTTTTAATGACTACCAATTTTTCAATGAAATAATAATACTATCTTTATTCTAATATTCTATAGTATATTGTCTATACTAACAACTACAAAAAAAAAAAGGTTGTTCAAACCTCTGGACATCATGGTTTTGTAATTTTTCGAAAAAATGGCTCTTTCTTACGAAAAGGTTTCAGACTTCTGCTGACGATCAATATAGTTTCAATTATCATCATTAGTACACGGCGCCATGAACAAATAGATCGGTATTACCACAGTTGTAAATGTTTTTTTTCAGTATGCACAACTCCTTCACCTCTGCCCCATGATTTAGTGCTCCACTTCTGACTGGTTGATTTTGTCCATGTTTTATAGTATTATGTGTATATATGACTGATAGCCAAGAAGTGTAGAACTACGATGTAGATGAAGTCAAGAGAGTATCAAAAATCTGTGGTGGTACATATGGTACACTGTTCTTTTCAGTATAGGTTATTTTCCATATCAGAAATAAGTCGATGTGACACCCTGCATAAGGTGACTGAAAGTGAATTCCAAAACTTCAGAAAATGACTTATCAATTAGTTTATGCGTTGAGATGGCCACCTTAAGAATGATTGAATTAGTTACAGAACCTAGTTAGCACACTACAAATTTAGTTTGATCTATTTTTTTAGTTTTGAAATCAATCGGTTTTTTATGGCCCATTCTGAATAATAGTACCATACGTATTATAGGTACCTTAAAGTCGTAAATTAAATTCGTTTTTCATAAGTTTTAATTTTTTTTTTTTTTGATTCCACCTATTTATGTTATTATTGTAAGGTCCCAAGTGCTATTTTCTTGCCAAAGTGGCATTCTTCAAAATACATTTTTGAACCCAAAACACGGTACCTACACGGCTACACGAACATGCAACACACGGAATTAATGTCATTATAACGATAACGTGTCCGGTTAATTAAATTCTCCAAACTTTTTTATGAACACACATATTGCATATATATATATATATGTATATATAATATATATTCCGTAACTATAACCATGGGTTAATTAATTCTCCGCCCGACGTGTGGTGCGTGGGACACAAATTCTAAAACGACAGTAACGTATAACAATATTAGTAATATTATTATATTACTTTGACGTGCGGGAGCGTGTAGAAAAAAACTTTATTTTCAAGAAGAATACGAGGCAAAAATGTTTTTTTTCTTATCAAAGGGCATGGACGGACAAAAAAAAATTCATTGCCGAGGGAATTCGAATTAGTTTGCTCGGTCTATGATCAATGAAAGACAACAAACCGTGTTTGCTCGGCTGCAGCAATATTATTGTCGTCTCCGAAATCCTTTTTTCTTTTTTATTTCTTTTTTTTTTTTTTTATTGTTGCCGTCGTACAATTTATTTTATTAACGTTTCTCGTTCGTACTGTTTGTCTGCAGATTCATTTGGAACCCGCAGACATGGGGCAAGCGGGGGGGGGGGCGCGTGTCACGGACGGGGTGTGCAGTGAAAATAATTGGATCTGGTTTCCTTCATTATGCAATGTTCTTTTATGTATACCGTATTATGTCCTTATTATAAAAATAGAATAAAAATAAATAATGGAATCCTGTAGTTTTCGGAGCTGGGGTACGACCTTTCCATTCCACGGGAAATCGTTTCGGAGACACGTTAAACGCTCTGAAAATTCGAAGAAAACGAGAACTAAATAGCGTACGTTTAAAAAAAAAAAAATGCAGACTTGCACGCGTGAATATAAGCTTGTCGGTGTTTGTGAATTTCGGTTTAATTTTATTTTCACCAGTGCAATCGTTAGATCACCACCACTTTCGACGTAAACAATAAAAATGTAAAGGCACAGCAGCGGCAGTAGTACATCATAGTTAATATTGTATTACACATTTATATTTTAATACTCTTCTCTCGACGTAGCCTGTAATGTTGAGGCCTAAATTCAGATAAGTACCTATAAGAAGTGTCTATGTGTATACTCATATATTTGTATTGTGTCTACATGAATCAATACACAAATCTCAATACTTGTAAAATCGTCTAGGGTAAATCGTTAATATTTATGAGGCATAAGGCGATTTCATTATGCCGTATAATTTATAAATCACATTTCTTCGAGTAAATGTTGACTTTTCGGGTTCGATTAACTATTAAAACTAATATTTTAAATTTATACGGTGCCCTTATATCACAATACAACGTTCTACATTCAATCTTTTATTTTAATCAAAAGATACTTGAAAAAAATATTAGACTTAATCTTTTTTTTAACTTGTTGCGATTTAATCTGCATTGTGGTTTATGTATTAACAAAGAATAAACGTTATCTTATCTGGTTAAAATTATTGTTGTTATACTGAATGTTCTCCAAAAAAAAATAACGTTCTGGTTGCGACGAGTTTTCATATTGTAGTGAATTTTTTAAGACATTTTTTTGGTTTTATGATTACCTTATTTTTAATATGTCGCTACGACGACTTACAATCGCATAATAATATGACGTGAACGCATTACCAATGTACATCGTAATATTATTATAATTCGTCTCGTACGTAGGACTTGATGCACAATGCGATACGTCGGCAGATTACGAGTTACGACCGACAATATTATAGTCGCAGACAGGATAGAATAATACGGAGGATAAAGGATTTCACGCATCGCGCACATAATGTTTTCCAGAGTTATTATGACAGCGCACGACGATAATATTATAATAAATCGTAATATCACGTATTTCACGAGAGCACATTTTTTTTCGTTCTGTAGTTCTCGATTTGACGAGTCCTTCTACTGCTGCTTCTGCTGCAGTACTTGCGAGAGGATAAAGCTCAAATCCCGATTCCACTCGTGATATTATTGTTATCAACGCCGTTCTACTCGCTGAGTTGGTCTTTGACGACATAGCGAATGATTACAAAGCCATGATATTTTTGATTAAAAAAGTAATGTTTTAAAACGCAAAAAAAAATCAGCAAAGTCGCACAACCAACTTGACTTCACCGTTTAAAATCTCGAGGTTCGTTAATATGTTTTTTTCCTATATTACCCAAACTCATAACCGACTTTAAAAGTGGTCCGAAATAGGTACTCAGTATCTTTTAGAAAACGTTACGTTATCCACATTTTATAGTAATTATTATAAATACGCCAGGCTCAATTGTGTCTTTCTGAAAATAGTGCTCATTTTTCCACATAAATAATAGTCAGATAATGCATATAGAGTATAGCATAATACGGGTTGCAATGTGTATAATATTATAAATATGATATGATGAAAGGTTTGTGGTGTTGTGGATAATTCGAATTTCCTGTAATGGAATGATTCGTGTTGTTGTCATAGTCGTTGATATGACGAATAATTGCTTATTTGGATTTGAAAAATCTTCAAATTATTGTAAAATAATTTGTAGTGAGAAAATCGATATTACTTTTTGAGTGTGCCGATTACATTTCTTCTGTCTTCGTTTTTTAATAAATCCACAGAATTGGAAACCATTTTAAACAATAAAAAAAATAAAATATAATAATTTTTTGTTCGCGGTACTCTTTTAATAATTTGGGTAATCAATCGTCGTATAAGGTATAACCGATATATTGGTTAGTATACCCATTTGACCATATGATTCCATTGAAAAAATGAAAAACTTCAACTAACTGTAGTTATTTTTATTTAAATTAATTACAAGCATCAGTTTTCGAATGACAAATGAATGTACTTATTATAAAATATCATTTGAGACCATCAATTTGTCAATAATATATTGCATAATATTGTACACCTTCAAGTTACCAACTTAATTTTCTTTGTTCAAAATGTAATCCCTATATCGTATAAGTTAATCATTTACTTTAGCAGATTGTATAATATTATATCAATATAGTATAAAAACAAGTCTTAACTTAAAAATTATGTTTGTAAAACCAAACACAGACAATGTTATTATGATACAATTTTATGAAATCAAAAAGTTTCATCATGTAGGTGCAGTTAGTAAGGATTTTCTGACGAAATTATACTAAAAATGTATTATATTAAGTATTCCTACATACTCAAACATTATACAGATCAACACACAGTTTACATTATTGTATATTTCTATTAAATATTCATTTTCAAGTGCATGAAATATTTATGTTCAAAAATAATATTTAGGTATACAATTTAGTTTAGTTTCGGTACCTTTAGTTGGGTTGTCGAAGAACGTTTTCAAAAAAAAAAAAAATACGTTTTAACATCTATTTTCTTTTTGATTAAAATAACAAGTGTGGCCTAGGTATTCGTTTCATATTTCAAACGATGGCAATATTCGCGTATTTAATACTGTTCGACCAAACGGGGTATCATCTCATGATGTAATGTCAGGTCTATAGTCTATAGTCATACATTCAGTGGTTGTAAATTTGTAATGTGTTGTCATTATTATCACATGTAAAACGTTGAATCAATAATTTCCTATTTAATCGTTTTTTACTTGTGTAACATATATGTACCTATATCTACTGACAGAAATAAAACAATTTCATCGTTTTTATTTTAAATTAAATGAAAGGGTGCATAAATGACAATATTTTTATTGTAATCAAGTGTTAACTAACGGAAGGATTTTCATTTCACAGGGTATCGGAAGCTTGTTCAGTGCTTTGAAAGTCGTCCGGTTATTGCGACTGGGCAGGGTCGTTCGAAAACTGGACAGGTACTTGGAATACGGCGCTGCAATGTTGATACTGTTGCTGTGCTTTTACATGCTGGTCGCTCATTGGCTGGCCTGCATTTGGTATTCCATAGGTAAGCAATTAAAAGCGATTCATAATATGGTATTTTTTTTTACTGTGTTTCGGAGTGTGTAGTTATTTTTTTTTTCACCCGATTCAACGATTGGCGCAGGTAATGATGTACAATTTTAAAATAGGGCTGTGAATTCATCGCATTCCACAGTTAATCACATTAAATTATAAAATGTATTTAACATCTTCCGAAAAAAATTGTAGGGAATTAAAACAATGCGTTCCATATAATATATTACATTTAAATAACCGTGAATTAACTAACTTCAAGTCAAGTATTTTTTTATAAATCAACCTCACTATAATATTTTTACTGATGATGTTAATAATTTGTTCGGTACACAATATATTTTGTACACCGTTTAAAAACGTGCACACTTCGTGCATGTATATGTTATCATAATATTATGTCATAAAATTATAAAAATGGACATAATACAATTGGATGCACGAAAAAAACCAACTAAATCGGGAGTTATTCTTAAAAATATTAATTTTTATAAACCGCACATTTGTTTTACTATCTCTCACTCTCTCTCTCTCTCTCTCTCTCTCTCCTACACACACAAATAACTTGATAATAATATGTTATCAGGACGGTCAGACGCCGAGAACGGATATCAATACTCGTGGCTGTGGAAGCTGGCGAACATCACGCAGTATCCGTACTCGTACATAATGACGGAACATGCCAACTCCACAGAACTAGTTCACGGGCCACCTCGAAAGACCATGTACGTGACAGCCTTGTACTTCACCATGTCGTGCATGACCAGCGTCGGTTTCGGAAACGTCGCCTCGGAAACCGACAACGAGAAGATTTTCACCATATGCATGATGGTCATCGCCTGTAAGTGCCAGAGGCGTGTAGCACATACGAATAATTGTATTTTTGATATTTGCTCTGCCACAAGAGTGTGTAAATAAGTGTACTGCACACACACTTAATATTTATATTTATACTATAAAACAATATGGATATTTGCTGAAATGTACTCGTTGATATTTCGAGATGGCTGTGTTGTTCCTAAATGATGCAATATGATGATCATGTTTTATAAAACTATTATTGGTAACGTGAAGTGAATATAACGACTGGTACTCAATTTTAAGTTTGGTGCTAAAAAATGTGTTACTTATCGATGATTTAGATTCTAACCTTTGCGATGGAATCCATCGGATTTACAATGATCTGTGTTTTTTTTCTGTCTCTCATCAAAGTCAGGGTGATTTTTGACATCAGCATCTTTTCTGATAGGAAAGTAAATCTAGTTGGTGGATTTGGGAGGCATTTGAAGGTTACAAATGTATAGTAAATTTTTATAGTGTTAGGAAAATCAAAAAAGAGAAGTAGAAATGGGAATTCAAAATATTTTGACTCTTTTGAATCATGTATGAGTCATGTTTGATTTTTGTATTTTTTTTAAACTCATTTTTCATTCGATAAAAAAGTTTGAAAACTTAATGCAAGTTACAGTAGTTTTTTTGCAAACAGTTCAAAAATATTAAAGATGAGTAGGCACGATTATTTTTTATACTTATATTTTTTGGTTATTTATACAAGTAGGTATGATAGGACCACATACAGCCCCACTCCCCAGAATAGTTTTTTGTAGGTATGCAATGATTTATTGCAATGGAACCTATAATTACAATGTGTTAGATTTACATTTTTAAAAATACCACATAATATTATAAGTACTATAATATTATACTTTATTATAATATTAGGTTATCAGTATAGTGTTGTTTATTTCTATTTTCTATAGTCAATCATGAATTGCAATACGCACTACTCGTCTGTCAAATTAAAGTTGCTTTTCAATTTTGAAATCATGAACTTAATTCGACAACAACTTAAAACAGTGTTTGTGTTTGAACAATAACTCAAATCCAAAAGTATTTTGACAATAACAAATTTAATCATAATACAGTGTGACATCAATATTAACCAAGCACAAGGCTGTAAAATGTCGTTTAAGTATGTAATAAATTATATATTGTACTTCATAAATTAATCATACTTGCAGCGCTGTTGTACGCTACGATTTTCGGTCACGTCACCACCATCATACAGCAAATGACTTCGGCGACGGCTAAGTACCACGACATGCTGAACAATGTCAGAGAATTCATGAAGCTGCACGAAGTGCCGAAAGCGCTGTCCGAGAGGGTCATGGACTACGTTGTGTCCACGTGGGCAATGACCCGGGGCTTGGACACGGATAAAGTACGGCTTACGTAAATTATTACTTATGCGCGTTCCCTTTTGGGTAATGGACGGAGCCATACTTTGTTTTGGATACTCAAAGGATTAAATAGATTTAATAACCCACCCTAGTTAAATCACTCCAACGGTAAACGGAATCGATGATATATGATAATATTATTATGATCGCCAAATTGTGTACCGGCCGCAATTGGAAAATTTAATTTTAAGACATTTAACTACATAATAATTATGTTTTTAGGACCACCTGCGGGCTATATAATATTGTCCATTCATTGTGTACCTACCTAAGGTTGTTACAGAATCGATCACTATCACAGGGTGTTGTTATAGGGCACTGCGAGCACAACTGAAATCGAAATAACTGATAATGGTTGTATTTGAAAAATATTTTTCATCGGATATCATGGATATCAGTTTAAGCTGTAATGTGTACAAGTATTTATGTATACTTTTAAAACTTATAATTTCCATGGCAACTAAAAAACAAAAGAATAAATTCAAACTGATACAAATATGAAATATTATAAGACTTTTTTTAATATAAAAACATTTTTTCATAAAATATTTGAGGTGGTTAATAACATCTCTATGGGTGTGATCAACCATAACAATTAAGGGCAATGACTCTTAGTATATTAAAATCATAATTATTTATTTGCGTTCATAATTGGCAAGTACATCCCAAATTAATTTCTCACTATTGGGAAGTTTTGTTTCAACACTCTACTCTAAAAGAAATACTTTCAAAAATCGAAATGTTTCATTTCAAGCATTTTAGACATTGCCGTATAATGTGTTTACAAATTCGCTACACCTAAATTAGTTCACCCGGGAGTTTTCTTATGACTTAATTCCTGTTTTTTAAGTAAAACAATGGTCCCATAAATATAATATACAAATCAACAACCACTAAACAAACATTATATATATACCTGCAGGTGGTTAGGATGGATATTCTCATTGTATTCGAACAAAGTGGACAGTGCCTATAAATTACCGTGATATTTTATTACTGACGCGGAATGGAGTCCAAGTGGCCCGGCGCCCAAATAATTTGGCTCCTGAACGACATCGTGGTAGTTTTATCCCCAGATACAAAACACCAGTGATGAATATATCTCAATAATAATATTATCGACTCGATCGCATTATCACCTTCCTCATAATACTATTATTGTTTTCATGTTTATAATATTGTTGTTGTTTTCATCAAGGTGTTGAATTATTGTCCGAAAGACATGAAAGCGGACATTTGTGTTCATCTAAACCGAAAAGTGTTCAACGAGCATCCGGCGTTCCGGTTGGCCAGCGATGGGTGTTTACGCGCCCTGGCCATGCACTTTACGATGAGCCACTCGGCACCCGGTGACCTGCTCTTCCACACCGGCGAATCCATCGACTCACTGTGCTTCATCGTAACCGGTTCGCTAGAAGTCATCCAAGACGATGAAGTGGTCGCCATTTTAGGTTAGCGTCAAAGCAAACCCCATAATATTATTGTGTTTGAATATTTATCTCACTACCTTACTATACACTATACAATGGGTGGGGTTGGGGAAATGTACGTGGATTAAATTGTTTAAAATGTGTTCATGCTAATAACGAGCAAGTTGGATCTAAGCGTTGCTTTAGTTAAAAAAAAAATCAAATACAATAAGTCTGTTTATAATATTATACATTTAACCATCCTTGGATTTAGGTAAGGGTGACGTGTTTGGTGATTCGTTTTGGAAGGACACGGCGCTAGGACAATCCGCAGCAAACGTCCGTGCCCTGACCTACTGTGACCTACACACCATCAAGCGTGACCGGTTACTCGAAGTGCTAGATTTCTATCAGGCGTTTGCGAACTCATTTTCACGGAACCTGATACTGACTTACAACCTCAGGCACAGGGTGAGTATTTTATTTAGGTTGTGGTGAAACCTTGACGGTTCTTACATTTAAAATATTTTAATATTTCTTGTATGTTTGTTTAATTTTAGTTAATATTCCGGAAAGTTGCTGACGTGCGCCGGGAGAAGGAGCTGGCCGAGAAGCGAAAAAACGAACCGCAACTGGATGAACAACGGGACCAACTGGTCCGGAAGATATTTACCAAGTTCCGGAAGGATAGAGCTCCCAGTACTGTCCTCGGGATGCAACAGGGTGCGGCGGCCGCGTCGGGAGCGCCTGCAGCAGCGGCGGGTTCCGACGAGAGCAAGTCTGAGGTTGGCGCCGGTGACGCTTCGGATGGTGTCGGCGGTGCTCGTCCCAAAGTCTTGCCGCTCGTGCTCAGACAGCAGAGTGAAGACCCGCAACAGGCGTCTTGCTCGTCGACAGGCCTGAGGACGGCAGCGGCCGCGGCTCCCAAAAAAGTGTCGAAATGGGGAAAGGTCTTGGGCGGTGGTGGGAGTTCCGACTCGGCGGACGTGTCTGTGGTGAGTGCGCAAAGCGCGCCTGCCAAGGTCCGTGACTCGCCTGGCCGGTCGGTCGGAAACGGTCACAAAGTGTTCCCGAAACTGCAAAAAGTGCCGACCACCGCTACCGAGTCGTTCGCTGGAGTGGGTGGAAGCCAGCGACAGGAAACGATCGACGAGACGGACGAACGCACCGGCGTCGGTGGCAGCGGTGGCGGTGGCGGTGGCGGTGGCGGTGGTGGTAGTGGTGGTGGTGGTGGTGGGGCGGTACCGGAAGAAGAACCACCGACTCCAGCACAGCCTCATCAATACCAGGTCACGACGGCGGATGCGCCGTCGCCACCACCACCGCCGTGTTCTGCGATGATCTTGCCACCGCCCCCCGACCTGGACGTGCTGGCCAAGATAGAGGACCTCCGGTCCGACCTCCGCGACGAGGTGCGGTCAATCAACCAGCGGCTGACGGCCATTGAGGACATGATGGTCCGGATCGTCGGGAAGCTGGACGCTCTGGCTAACGCCTCACCCGCTCCATCGCCGTCGCCTGTCGCGTCACTGAGGCCGCCGGATACGCCGGAAGCAGGACGCCGACCTGGGTGCAGGACCAAAAGTACGGACGACCTAAGCTCGCCCGCCACTCCCAAACTGCCGCCGATGGTCCGGCGGCGGCGCAGCAAGTCCCGGACGCGGTCCTCGTCGTCCGCCCTGCCGCCGATGCGTCCGTTCAGCCCCCGAGACACGTCGCCGCCACCGTTTCCCCGGACTGATTCGCTCAAAAAGCCGTGCCCGCCCCGGCCCAACGACTTCCTGTAAGCACGCTGCAAAGGCGAGACACTACCGATCACTGCAAAAAATAATATAACCGCCATCACAATAATTATAATTATACTATTATGCGATATTATTATTACGAAAAATCGATTACGTTTGTACAATGATGATAAGAATATAAATATATATATATATTATTACATTATAGTGTTTTAAAATCATGTACAACGTAAGGTGTTTTTTTTTTTTTGTAATTGTTATGCGTGTGTTTTTTTTTTATATATATTTTTCTCGTTTTGTTTTTTGTCTCGTAATAATATTGTACGTACACGGATAACTGATTAATAAATAAAAAAAAGATAGTAACAATACGAAAACGAAAAAACCTTCACGGGGAGAGAGCTGGGTACCGAAAGTGTCGATAGGAAGCACAGGATTAACTTTTACCTAAATATAATGATAGCTTAAAAAAAAACGATCAAATTTCGTACGATCGAACACTATCTTACGGTCTATGTCGAAACGCCGACCAACGTATGTCACATTTTTGTAGCAGATGGACGGCGTTAACTATAATTATATTATTAACATTATTATTATTATCGAGCATAGCGCTGCCCTTTCGAATCTCTCTTTTTTTTAGCCATATGTTGAGAATAAACTACAATGAACGTTCTCTCTCCTCCCTAAAGTCCCCCCTTCAGCCAAGCAGCTCTAGTCCCGTAAAAAAAATTCGATTAAGCTACAACGAAGAAAAAAAAATGACCATCTACGATATCGTGACATGGTTATCATAACACCAGGTCAGTTAATTTTCGAAATTACCATCAAAACGTCTTAAAAAATAAAAATAATATTTTTCGTTTTATTTTTTGACCATAGTTCCCACACAACGGTTTGGACAGTTATTATTTCTCATAGATTTGATCAAAATTTCTCTGTTATAACAAATATCTTCGAACAATATTAATAATTTACAATCAATATAGCGATAATTTAATTAATATTGTATATCTCGACTAATCTCGGACTAGAGCAGTTAGGGACTTTCGTTTTTTGAATGTGGTGCATTATAATTATTTTATTTTTAATATTTTTATTATGATAACAAAATATTATAACCTTTTACCAAATGTCTACTACCATCTAATTTAATTTAACGACTTTTATCTTAATTTAGTGCCTTCTTCAGTATAAGATCGGATAATATTATACAAATATTTTATAAGTAATTTGATAAAATTCTGGACTTAAGGTGTCGTAATGTCAGTAATATTTTAATATAACGAAATAAATTACCTTTGATCGTGTAGTTTAAATTTTCAAATTCAATAGTGAATGTAATACCGAGTTTCTATTTTCAATGATATTTAAAAAGTGTGAGTTATTTTTAAACGTTGCGTTAAAGATAAAAATCAACAGTTGATAATATAAAATATATAATATACATAATTATATGTACAATGTTGTAGTCAAGTAAACAGAAACTCTCTACAAAGCACAATGTTTAAAAATCGAAATAAAAATGTTCACAATAAAATAATATTCTACTGAAACAAAGACGATAACCAATTATTGCTCGCAATGTCTTTTCTGTTTTCTCTGCAAACCTACAAATCGGCGTAAACAATATTTCAAATACATATTTGCGTGGGCTTGTACTGAGACCTTAAACGAAACGTTATGATTTTATTTTTTCGCGCTCAGACTATCTAACGGGGAGTCTTTTTTTGCGGGGTAAAAAATTAAAACACCGAAAGTCGGTCGTTCGAAAACGAAAAAAAAACTAAAAATAATACAGTAATATTGTGTTTCTAATAACAGTCAATAACTGTGGACTGAGACTGGTGATGAACCACGTTCTCAAATACATTTCTAATGGACTATATTATTGATTATTACATTGTGGGCTGTGCAAATTTTGGTCTGTTATACGCACCGAATTTTTTAGAGGTAAAATAACATTAATTCACAGAATCACACTGTCGTGTAGGGATAATTTGAAAAAGTGCCTTCCGCATGTATCCCGTCGCGGGTAAAAATGAAAAAAAAATGAAACAAACAATAATATAATATATTCTAATTTATACCTAGTAGGCGGTGTATAATATAATAATAATAATAATAATAATAAAGATAAATTAATTTTAGAAGTACAAAAAAAAATGTTTTCTTTAAGACTTTTGTGACTTGCATACCTTACAATTTTGTAGGGTTTTAATAATATTTTAATTGTTTATATTTTGAACGTAATTTTCTATCGATTTTTGGCACAAAAAATTCTTTCGTCTGTAAAATGTGACTTTTTATTATTAAAAAAACAATAATTATTGTAAAACAATTTTCTTATAGGTAAATTCAACGCACGTGTAACATTTTAATAATGCACTTTTATTTTAGTAAAAAATATTTTGAAAAAATTAAAAAAAAAAAATTAAAAACCATAAATTTACAAATGTTTTTAAAATTTTATTTGAACATTGCATTTTGTTGTTGTTGTTATTGTTGTTTTGTCTTCTTTCATTATTTATTTCTTTTTTTTATATAAGCAATAAGTTAAGTTTGATAATATCAACACGTTATTTAACATTTTGTTCTTCTCGATTTATATTGTTTATTTTTCGTATAGATTATTATACTTGTTTTGTTTACCGATTGTCACTTGTATGAGTAATACTGTGCAGTTCGCATAATTAATAACATGTATATAATAATATAGTACCATCAGATTTGTAGATTTTTTTTTTATTGATTATTTAGTCGTCTTCAACAAAAAAAAAAAAGAAAAAGTTTACAACTACATAATAATATTATATAGCTCAAAATACAATATTTATTATTCTTTGTTCGGTTTAATTATTAATACGGTCACTATATATATTATTATATTTTATACACATAGTATTTTATTTTTATTTTTTTTTAACATTCCTGCACCACGTCGTGCTCAAGATTAGATGATTAATTTCTATTCCAAATCGAATATCGCTGCCTTTTACCGGAGTGTTTTGTTATATTATTATTGTGATATTGATAACGATGATTATAATGTTTGTAGACTGTTTTTTTTCTTCTTGTTTATGTTTAAAATGATATTTTGTGACTTCCACATGATGTATGATAGTATTATATAGTAATATTATGTTTTTACTAGTACGTAAGTCGTTGATTTTGTTTTATTGCGTTCGTTTCATTTCGTTTTTTAATTGTAGTGTAGTAGCAAGTGATTTATTCTATTTGATTAAATTTATTTTCTATACGATTTTATTTCACTTTGTAAATAATAGGCACGGATTAGCAAAGAAAAAAACAAATGTATTGTAAATTTAGTGCTCGTGTATAAAATGTGATTCAAATTTTCGCTGTGCAAATCAAATTAATTAACATTGTTTCTGAAAAAAAAAATTGTGTACTGATTTCTCCATGCATCCCATTTACAGGTTTGTTTTCTTAGAAACTCAACTTTTTTTGTGACCCACGGATGGTTAGTAAAATGATAGGTTCATACAATGTGACGGTAAATTAGGTTTTAATTAATTATTATTATATTGTTTCCGTGTTTATTGTCCACTTATAATATTTACCAAGCTACCTTATAACGTAATACTAGACGATTGAGACGATAAGTAAGTTGTAACGTAAAATTAAATATTATTGATTAATAATTATCGAAAAAGTATTTTTGTCAATCACATATTTATTAGCTTGTGAAGACGTAACTAAAAATTAAAAAGTGTTAGATCAGTTTACCGCATTGCCATATAGTTGTAGGAGTTGAGTGTACATTGAAATTGACAGTAAGTCACTGTAATATATTGTTGTGTATTAAATTAGTTGATTTTAATGATAATTAATTAATTAATCAAAAATTATTTTGAGTAAAGACAATCAACTTATATAATATTATTATCAAAAGTATATTTTATAATAGGAAATTAGAAACCCATACATATTGTATTGCTATCATCAGAGCATTATTTTTCTCAAAAAAAAAAAACTGAAAACTTTACAAAAGTGTAAAATATATGTTCTATTGAAACTAGTATTTACTACATTTGGTTTATTTTTCCAAATTATTTATATTAATGACTGAAATTTTCAAATCACCAAAGCCCTCGTAATATAATATTATATTACATTATCATATAAACCTATTACAACTAGTTATTTTTAGAACACAAAGTTAAATAACTCAAAAACTACTCTTTTTTTTTTTGATTTTGCTACGTTAAATTTTTGAGAAAAATTATCCACTGAATAATTTACAGCAGTTGAAAGGGGGGGGGGGTGCCGATTTGGAAAACAGAAGTTTGTATATCCACAGGACACCGCTCAAGTAGTACAAAAAGTCTCAAGAAAATGAGAATAAGGTCTAGATATGCATAAAAATCCCTGCCTTTGTCATTTCTACTTATTTCATATAATAATATAAAATGTATTTTATAGATATTATAATATGAAGCACATACAATGACATTAAATTTACGAAAGTGCATTAAAATGATCTCTCACTTAATTCTGAGTTGTTTTCCTGTAGCTGCAGAGGGAATCTGTATCATAGTTAATATCTTTATCGTTACATCATTTTACTTATATTATTAAGTCATAAGTGCTCAGCGGCAATATTATAAAGTCTAACTATTACAAATAATACCTTCATAATAATATTCTAAAATGTGTATTTCGGTAAAATTAAATTAAAAATGTGCATTTCAATGCATACCCCACGAAACTCGTGGTATTGCGTGCAAAACAAAACAGTTTGTTTACATCAATCTACTCATTGATTGGAATGTATACGATTTTAGTGTTCTTTTCCAGATTTTGAACATTGAATAAAACGAGTCGCGATTACACTACAATCAAGTCTTTTGCAGTGTTGTAGTACAAGAGCGAACCGAAATTTCTAATAAATATTTTAGGTTGGCAGGGGGAGGGGGCGGTTTAACCCATATATTGTCCTCACCACTGCAGCATTATAATAATATCATATTATTATGTGCATACAGTTTCACTTCCACGATACCGGATATCACTGCGCAGCAGTGGACTAATATCACACCGTTTTGATTTCACAATGTGAGTTGGTTATTGTCATTTTTCGTGTGTAAATATTTCGTTTCGACTACCGTTCTTACTATAATATTGAACACAATAAAAGTGTCCAACTCGGTCGGGTCGTCCAATGCGATCTGTGTATTGTGAACTATTTTATATGACGTGTCTCGTGATTGTTACTAGCTATTGTCT